ATGCATTATCGAGCTTGCTACGGCACTGCGAAGATAATAAAGTTTGGGTGTTTACAATTATAAGGTTCACTTTTTTCAGATACCCTGTACAGCATACGAGACGTGAAAATCTGGTGGAAGACAGTTAATTGGCAAACGATAGTTTTCTCAACTCTCCTGTCAAACGAGACCAAGAGTCATGGGAGTTGACTGTACATTACCGATCAAACAGGTGTGTTACTTGGACGGGTAATAAAATGCATTGTAAGCCAACGCTGGGCCCACAATTCCTAGTACTTGCCCAGCAGTTGTCCTACCGTAAAATAGCAACAGCGTGAATAGAGGAGCAAATACTGCTAGAAACAGGCCCTCGTTCGGAGCTATACATTCATACCAGAATACCGAGAGGGTGATGACGTAGACAAGCAACGAGCAAAATGTAACAGAAATCTCCAGAATAAGAACTAAAGAATGAAAAAATTAAAAGATTTAAAACATACTTTATTTGTACTGGATAGCTCTAACAGTTCTAAACTTTTCCTCCCAAAAAGGTTTAGTATAAGGATCACCTATTATTGATCGAGTGTTACTACAGGAGACCTAAACTACACTAACTTATTTATACTGGATAGCTCTACCAGTTCTAAATTATTCTCCGTAAAGGTTCAGGAAGGTTCATCTTATTGATCCAGTGCTACTACAGGAAGAAACCTCAACTAAACTAATTTTATTTCTACTGGATATTTCTATCTGTTCTAAACTGTTCTCTCTGGAGGTCCGGTAAGGTTGATCTAAGAAACCTAAACTAAACCAACTTTATTTATACTGGATAGCTCTATCAGTTCTAAATTGTTCTCTTCAGAGATCCATATCATCTCTTATTGATCCAGTGTTACTACAGGAGGAAACTTCAACTAAATTAACTTAATTTATACCGAATAGCCCTATCAGTTCTAAACTGTTCTTGCTAGTGGTCCAGTAATGTTCATCTCTTATTGATCCAGTGTTACTACATGCAGGAGAAAACCTAAACTAAACTAACTTTATTTATACTGGATAGCTCTATCAGTTCTAAACTGTTCTTGCTAGAGGTCCAGTAAGCACTCTTCTCACATGCGAAATTATAATCAGACAATTGCAGTTGCAGATTAAAACTGGGGATTCTGAAATGAAAAAGACATTAACAGCCACAAATACCCCCAAGTCAACTTACCCACGACAGTCCAAAAACTCCATTTACCCCAGGGAAGTTGCTGCGTCACTCTATAGTAAAGTATTAAACCCAGGACTCCTGTGAAAATAACTCGCTTTAAAATACAATCCCCGTTTTTCAAAACTCCACAACCTTTGATCCTTAACAGCAATAGAAGTCCACAGATAGGCACCAGCTAAAGACAGAATATGACAAATTAATAATACAGTAGATATACGTTACACTTCCTGTGACGCTGTGAAGAACACTATGAGAACAAACTATAGCTATAGGTCAACTGAACTAAACATTCATGCAAAGATTATATCAGGGACGTTATTTTTTAAATTAATTATAGATATATTTGTGGATAGGTATAGGTGTAATTAATATTGTGTGATTGGAACGTATGTCAGCTAATGTCTGTAATGTCTGCATGTAAATTAAATAATATATTAATGTAATTTATAGAGAACTGGAGCCTACAGATACTTAATAAACGTATTAATTTCTTCAAAACGCGCATTCATAGTCATACCAGAATATCATAGTAATCTTTGGGAGAAAAGATCAAGCCACTGAAGATTATGAGAAGAACTGAGGCATTATGAGCAATACTTGGAAACATGGAATTCTTCTTGTCCTATTAACGTACATAAATATTACATTAAATTTAAACCAATCACTTATACTATACTACACTATAAGCTTCTTTGGTTTGTGTCTGGACTACCTGAAAAAGATATCTCAAACGTGGTGGTCCAGTTTAGGTAGTATTCCATAATAAGCTTTCGTAGTTCGTGTCTGAACTACATGAAAAAGATATCTCAAACGTGGAGGTCAACAGAGGCAGATCAACGTATGTCTGGTACAAATAATTTCTTGACAGCTTACTTACCAAAGATATTTGCAGATCAGTCTGAGGTTGTCCTTGAATGATCATTACAAGATGAAGAAATACATGATACAACACACTTGGTGAAATCTCGCCTTAAAATTAACATGAAAACAAACGTTATTAAAAGGAATGTGAGCTTTTGAAGAGGTTGGTATATATACACCGTGACAGTGTCAATGACCTAACTTCTTACTTTGCAGAAAAGTAATAGATATTTTCTGATTCATTTCTCCAGCTACTGATAGAATGGACACACCCAGGAACACAATATACCTGTCAATGAGAAAATTACTATCAGTATTAATTACCAAAAGCAGGTAGACGGTAGACTGAATGTGACTGACAAATACTAAGTCTAAGGTGAATATACAAATATATTACGAACTGTCAGGGAAATGTCAGACATGATTTGTTCCCAGAACCATTACCAGTATAGATCATGCTTGCTAACTAGTTCATCTGGATAGTTTATCTTGTGTTTACACTAAGACTGATGATCTGTCTGTGTGTACAAATACGACACTAGACGAACCATCAGGGAAATATTAGACATGATTTGTTCCCAGAATCATTACCAGTATAGACCATGCTTTGTAGCTACTGTAGTTCTTCCGGATAGTTCATCTTGTGTTCACACTAAGACTGATGAACTATCTATGTGTATAAATACGACATTAGACAAACTATCGGGAAAATGGGGCTTCGGTGGCGAAGTGGTTAGCGCACTTGCCTTTCATCTCTAACGTCGCAGGTTCAAATCTCAATGAGAATTCTCAATGTGACTCGAACCCAGTCCTCATGTGAAAAGAGTAAAAGTCAATGCTCAGGCGAAAGTCGTGGATTTTCTCCAGGTAATCCGGTTTCCTCCCACAGGGAAGGTCGACAGGGTGGGTTAGGCACATAGGTCAGGGGGCAGATCATTAATGAGGTATGGACTACTTGCGGCTGCTTTGAGCGCCATTTGTAAGCTCACAGTCTACCTCGGTCTGCTTCACGCCAGTTCCGGCTCTAATGTAATCAGTTACTGAAAAACCCTGATAGGGAGTGTGCTGAGTAATATATGTAAATATGGAAATGTCAGACATGATTTGTTCCCAGAACCATTACCAGTATAGATCACGCTATTCTAGCTCATTCATCTGGATAGTTCATCTTGTGTTTACACTAAGACTGATGATCTGTCTACGTGTATAAATACGACATTAGACGAACTATCAGGAAAATATCAGACATGATTTGTTTCCCAGAACCATTACCAGTAAAGATCATGCTTTCTAGCTAGTTCATCTGGATAGTTCCTCTTGTGTTTACACTGTGACTGATAATCTGTCTATGTGTATAAATACGACATTAGACGAACTGTCAGGACAATATCAGACATCATTTGTTCCCAGAACCACTACCAGTAAAGATTATGCTTTCTAGCTAGTTCCTCTGAATTGTTCATCTTGTGTTTACAGTAAGACTGATGATCTGTCTATGTGTATAAATACGACATTAGACGAACTATCAGGAAAATATCAGACATGATTTATTCCCAGAGCCATTACCAGTATAGATCATGCTTTCTAGCTAGTTCATGATCTGTCAGACGGATGAGTCGGCACAGATGAGCAGTCTCTAGCATAAATCAGGGCATAAAATATAATTAAAACTTTGACAATACATTACATTTTCACGTTGGTGTTGATATTTGGTCCTTTAATAGCCAAAAGCAGTGAATTTGTGCTAATTGTCGCAGAGATCATGTAAGGGATTGAAAGGATTGATGAGGGTAGTTTAGGATAGGGCAAGACCTACAAGGCACAAAATTATGATTAAAATATAGGCTACACACGTAAAAACGCAGTTGTAACAAATCTGCAGCAGACATGTAGCAATGCTGTTCCAACAACTTGTCAACAGGATGTATTCGCACTGCCTGTTCCCAGCGTGTTGACAAGTTGTCAACAGCTTGTTGAAAACGTGCTATACAAGGTTGTTGAACTCAACAGACTTGTTACAAGTTGTTTCAACAACTTGTTATCGTTCTGCAATTCAACAATTTGTCAACAAATTGTGAGTGACAACCTTGTAGCAACTTGATAAAATAACAACATTGTTACAACTTGTTGTCAAGCTTGCAGGGCCTTTTTTAAGGATTTTCCCGTGGGGGGGCATTTTTTGAAAAGGGACCTTTCTGTGAGATAATATATTACAGGGAGATAGCAATGGCTGAAGGCCATGTGTGCGCCGAACATACCATGCACGCATGAATGAGGGGGGGGGGGGG